GGGGGGGATTATTTTATGACCCTTCACAAACTTGTCCATTCTTTTACGAAAATAGCCTTTCGAGAACTGAAAAATACTCTGAGGCTCTCTCGGCAAGAATGGTTTGAGACATTGCCGAAGTTGGATCGGCTTATTTTGATCAAGAATCCAGACTGTATTCACTCGACCACCGACTTTCTTTTCTTGTTTTTCTTTCTTTTTTTTTCAAAAATAAGGCCGAACCTTATGTAGATTGCCTATGTATCCCACATCCGGTGAGAATCAGACCTGCGTAGTTCGGTCAGTTTTGACACATTTGGAAGAACACAGTGTTTGACTCTTTTGAAATAACTTTCTTTTCTGAAAAATTTTGCCAAAGCTTCGGGACGCTTTTCAAATACCAGGGTTTTCTTTGGAACCGGGTTTTATTTCCTTCCCTACATCACTCTTGGTTTTTCTTTTTGCTTTATTTTCCCTAGCCGGTCAGCATGCAAGCCAAAATAAATAAATGTACACATAGCACGTAGAATGCATCAGGATAGTCTGTTGTTTCGGGCACACCTGTCCTAGATGGACCCAACCACTGTGTTGAGTCCCCTAAGTCAAATGCACATGATGCAAACAAACGCTCCTATTAGGGATCCGGCATGAAGCTGTGTTTTTCTAGGTTTAACTCCTGGGGTTTTGGTCTAGACTTGGGTACCCGAGCGGACAACTGGGGTCGAAGAGGGGGCGACGTACCGGGAGCACTGAAGTCTACCCGGCCTTGTCGCTTGCCCAGCCTCGTTCTATTTGGTATAATTTCTACAGAAAAAGCGGGCCACGCGAACGTGTGAACCATTTTCAGAAGACTCAGAGAGGTGGCGTAAGAAAACATTTATATACAATTCAAACAATAATAAAGCAGTAAACAAATAACATTTAGCACAAAATATTCACAGAATACAGTAATATTAACAATAAATGAAGCCAAGTAAAAATCATTAACAAGCTCGAATTCTTGAACCCTGAACTAGAGATTCTGAGTTCGTTCCCCAGCAGAGTCGCTAGAGCTGTCACACCTTATTTTTTCACTTACACCCCCGTAAGAGAGTATATAAGAGAGTTTTTCCACTTTAAGTGACATTATTCGAAATGTGATTATTTATTTAAAATTCAGAGTCATCACTTGGGATAATTTATGGTGTCCCAATTCACCGGTTTAAAATTCCAAATCGAGGAAAGTTGACTCTATTTACGGTCTGCGAACACAGAAATTCGGGTAAGGAATTCTGTTAACCCGGGAGAAGGTGTTAGGCATTCTCGAGTTCCGTGGTTCTAGCACGGTCGCTTTGATCATACTTGGCTTACTAAATTGTTTACTTACTCATTTTGGAACCCATGTTCTTTCACCTCTTAACCGCTTTTAAATTAAGAAAATTATCTTGGAAACGGGTCACGCGTATGTGTACCCGTTTGGCGCGTCAAAAATCATGTCATGCAGACGTGTCCACAATTAGTGACCCTTTATTATTATGAAGAAAAGTTTGGCCAAAGTTGCGCGAACGCATACTCTAGTTTGGTTTTTAGAAATTGTAATCACGTCACGCGAACGTGTACACAATCACAATTATATTTTCCTACAAATATTCATTTTAGGAAACGTACTGTTACAANGAAGGTGTTAGGCATTCCCGAGTTCTGTGGTTCTAGCACGGTCGCTTTGATCATACTTGGCTTACTAAATTGTTTACTTACTCATTTTGGAACCCATGTGCTTTCACCTCTTAACCGCTTTTAAATTAAGAAAATTATCTTGGAAACGGGTCACGCGTACGTGTACCCGTTTGGCGCGTCAAAAATCATGTCACGCGGACGTGTCCACAATTAGTGACCCTTTATTATTATGAAGAAAAGTTTGGCCAAAGTTGCGTGAACGCATACTCTGGTTTGGTTTTTAGAAATCGTAATCACGTCACGCGAACGTGTACACAATCACAATTGTATTTTCCTACAAATATTCATTTTAGGAAACGTACTCTTACAAAAAAAAACATGTTCATAAGGCTAATGTTGCCCTATTAGTTCTAAGCTTCAAATGTCCCCCCAAAAAACCATTATTGAAGTACTGCAAATTAGAGAATTCGAATGCCAGGAAACGACACATACTATTGCAAATTAACACATGTGATTCTAACAAATTCTTAATGATGCCTTAAAAATGAAGGCAAATTTCATCCAGGAGCAATTTATGCCAAAGTGCCACTCCTAGAGATCCAGTACATATGTGAACAATTCCCAATCCATCGTGTTACCGTTTACACGAGTAGATTAACCCTCTAATTCAAGAAAAATCCAATTGAAATACAATGCATTCAGTATAATTGAGGGGGAGGGGCTTATAAATCCTTACTTCATGGTATTTTCACAAAAAAAAGTGTCCAAAGGGGCTAAAAATGATCTATAGTTGACAATACAGTATGAGTGGATACAAAGTTAATGAAGTCGAACACATTTAACAAAATCATCAGCACTCAAGAACTTTGTTGAAGTAGAATGATGGGAAGGGGTCGTTTTTGGTTGAAGGCCTTCTTCGTTGTTTTATCGTTTAGGCAGATGAATAACGGGAGAATTTTATCAAATCAAATGGTTTCAACGATGCTTAAAGTCTGCTACTCTAGACCTCTCAACGCAACATATTTGCATAAGCTCGAACCACCCTCATAGACTCACGGGAAAAAAAATAGGAAGAACAGACTTCTCCAAATCATTCAAATCCATCAATAGCTCAATTCGAAGAAGAAGAAGAAGGCAAGCAAAACAATGCCGAACAGAATTGCTCAACACAATGCAGAACAGAAGAGGTTTAACAGCTTAACAACCCTAGCAAATGCCCTCAAACCACTGCATGTTTCAGCCTAATTCACTGCTCGAATTAACTGCTTTTAGCAGCACTAAAGAACAGAGCTCTTAGAGATGTAACAATGTAGGTAACTTCCGAGCAGGAGAAGGAGAATAGAGCACATCCAAACAAGCAGTGAAACAACTTAGTTTTAACATTATTTTAAACCAAGATTTGATAAGAATGGATCATCAAGCAGCGTACCACATTCACACATTCTGGTAAGCAACAGAGGATCCTACTGCCTGTGTGATTTAACATAAACAAGCCAAGACAAACTAACATGGGCAAACTCACTGAGTTATAAACCAATGCAGATTAATGTCAGATTTTAAAATCAAACAGAACATGATACTACATGGATCACTGAGATTCAATCCAGACATTATTGTTATCCTAGGAATACAAGAAGAATTACCAGTACTGAATTTTAGGATTTAAATAGCATATTCCCAGTACAGCAGTCTACAGAACTATTAATTAACCCCCTGAACTTTACGGCTCAAACAAGGTACAGCGGAAGGAACATAGAAGGACTAGATGAACCCTTAAGTCAATAACTCCATCACAGTCTTCCTGATTTCAAATGTTAAGCAGGAACAAGAATCGAGTCAAACTTTAAGATTTTAATGTCATAACAGAAGTAGGAAAAAGGATACGACTCGCGAATATACGAACATTCCTTCGACATGAGAGCAATCCATGAATATAGACCAATGAATCATAATCACAGCACACTATTAACACGAGCACGGATCAATACTTGAAACCTCGGATTTTTATGAATAATCACAAAACTTCCCTTTTGTTTCCTCAGAAGAAAAAAACAATCTGAGCTTAGTTTCATTTCAAAAATTTCCAGTTACAGAACATCGGAGAAAATCGACGTAACTCAACAAACTTTACCAAAAAATCTCAGCTAGTCACAAATCGATAAGAAACTAAATTCGAACTCACTGATAACGCTCAAATGACAACAACAGTGGAGTACAAACTCAGAAATTCCATAGCTCAAGAACAGCTGAGAAAACAGAGTTACATGGGAGAAAAATAAAAATCAAACCTGAAGTTGCAACCTTCTTTTAAAAATTATAGCTCTAATAATGCGCCTTTTGCCTCCGAGTCATAGCGAGGTTCAGTAGCAAATCAGTAAGATGACAGTAGAAAACCAAGCTTGAACTTCAATTTTTATCTCTTTGGAACTCAAATTTGGATTCCGAAAAATAAAAAATGTGTATGCTTCTCTTAACCTCTTAAAGAACTCTTAAACGAAGGAAAAGAAATCAGAGAACAGAAACCAGAAGTTAAAGAAAACCCTTCAACTTTTCTCTCCAAATTTTTTTTACCAGCCTTCCCCTCTCAAAATCGAATCCCGTTCCTTTTTGAGAATGAACCCCTTGATGAATGTGGGGCTTGTATTGAGTGAAATCAATCCAACGCCTCACACTCATCCAACGAATCGTCTCTAAGACCTTCCAATCGCGTGCCTTATCTCAAAATCGAGCGAGTGCAACGATGGAGAATCTTCGGTGTTAGAAATCATTAGAAATGGTGATGAGGAGAGAAGGAGGAACGTGTGGGTTAAGGATTTGGGATACACTCGCCCGAATTTGGACTGGATTTGGGGCTTGGTTCGAGTGTCTTCTTGGAGAAGAAGAACACTGCGTTGATGGGGTGTTAGGGTTCTAGGTGTCGTTCTTTTGTGTGTTATAGTTGGAGTGGGTCGGGTTTGGTTGGGGCGGGTCATGTATGGGTTTAAGTGGAAAGGAGAGGTATTGGGCTAAGGTGATTTGGAGTGAAAGAATTGGGCTTCAGAATTTCAACTTGGCCCAATTTCGAATTTTTAAGAATAGACCCTTTTTTTATTAATAGAAATTCTTAAATTAAATTCCTAAATTAATCTAAATTGTAAAATTAAGCTAATTGTCTAACTATAAAAATTATAAAAGTTACTCAATACTAAATTAAAAGAGAGAAATCAATAATCTAAAAATTAAAAGAAAGAAAAATGTAAAATGAGCTATTTTTGTGATTTTCATTTTTTATAAAACAAGTGATTACTAATTAATTCCAAAAAAAATGTAAGAATCAAATCTAAATTCAATTCATGGTATTTTTGGTATTTTTTTTATTTTTAATGGAAATTAAATATGCACAAGAATGCACATAATTAGTAAAATTCTACAAAAATCCTATAAAATTGCAAAGAGAAAAAAGAAATTATTTTTCTTGTATTTTATGGGAATAATTCATATAGGACAAAAATCACATGCTCACAGCAGCCTTACCCAAACTGCTGAGGCAGTTCTTTTTTCATTTCTAGCTACAAAATTTGGTTTCCATTTGGAGATAGATAGGAAATGACCATTTATGAACCATGGCCCTAGGTGAATAGCTTTATCCATGTTTTCTTTCTTTGTGAATTTGATAATGTAATAGTCCTCACCGAGATCAATTAGAGAGAAGTCCTCCGTTGGTTTCCATAGATCTTGGATCTTCCTCTTTAGGTAATGGTGTAGCATATGTTTCCCTACTAACTTGATTATAATAGAGTATTTCCATGGCTCATAGATACGTTGTCTATCTTCCAATGAAAGAGAGATTTGTATAGCTTCACCTAGAGTAGTCCCTCGATCATGCACTACTTTTGTGTCTTCCACTTCCTTTGTTGGTTCAAGCATATCATCATGATCTATGGAAGGAGTGAAAATTGTTAGGTTAGATTTCAATAGTTTATCCTTAAAGTATATTGGTCTCTCAAGATTGTTTGGTAAGGGAGGGTGTTGGATTAAATCTGGTGGTTTGGGGGAATAGTCTCTTGTTTGTTGGGAATGCATTCTAGAGAGAAGTTGGAGTTTCTCACTCTATATAACAACGATCGTATACGTGTTTAATAGCAAATAGGAGAGATTTGTGGCTTAATGAAAGTAGCTCTCGAGCCTTAGATCAATTCGAAATAATCTAAATCTAGAAAATTTAACTCAAATAGCTGGTGGTATTCATTGTTTATTTTTCTAGTCATATACATAAATTATATATTGATTATACATAATTAAATACATATAACACATAAATTATGCATATATTATACCTCAATAGGATATTTTTAATTTAAGTGGTTGGGTGGATGACTATTCAGGTTAATTCTTCAATATATGTGTGTGTATACATATAACTAGTCTTACGATACGCGCATTGCGCGTGTCCTCTATCTCGATAACTATATATTTTTTTAAATTATGTAAAAAATTAATTTAACTTTTTTTTTTATTTAAAAAGGTGAACGGCTTTTAGCAATATGCTTTGCGCGTATACACACATCAATGAGTATACAATTAAAAGAATATTATTAAATAATATATTTTAGTTATAAAATAAAATAAAAAGGTTTGAATCCCTCACTGATTTATCAAAGTTTTTTGTGGACACACCTCGTTGAATTCAAAGATCATTATAAGCTAAAACTTAAATATTAGTACAATAAAATAAGATTATCTCTGTTATTTTTCTTGCCTAATATTATATCGAAATTTTTAAATTGTGATTAATGAACTATATCGTCATTCACAAAAAGCTCTAACTTTAGTCTGTCTTTGAGTTTGTACCTGAACCAAACTTTAAAGAATAGATGATTTTTCACGTGCAAATATTTGGCCTTTGACAAAACTTAGCTTTTCATATAACATTTTTTCTAAAGCAATTAAATTTTTCTTCAAGTATCCCTTCATATAATATTCCGGAAAAAGTGTTCTTTTTTCTTTCAAAAAATACAAATTCTCTTTTGTGTACTTATATCAATAACTATACTATTAAAAATAAATTCCCGCCAAATACATTTGTTTTCTTTCTTCCTCTTTATAGTTCTTACACCACAAAAAGTTATAGGATTTATTCCCTTTTCAAGTATTTAACTGAAAGTTTTTGGGTAATGTTTTCAATTAAACTTTTTTATGTTGTTTGACGTGAATGATACAACAATATCTTCAAAAGATTAAAATATATTTTTTGCATGAGTTTATGTTATTAATTTGATGAATTATCTATATATGAGCACTAATGTGTTCTATCAACTCACTTTATTTTGTTTATTATTTGTTCTTTTTTTCTTTGTAAATTAAAGAGCAAACCAAATTCTTTTTCTTTTCAAAATAGTTGACATATTTTTCAAAATCTTGTCATTAATCATAAATTTATCATTATTTGCTAATTTAGTGCATGTCATTTTATTTTTTATTTAAAATTGATTATTTCACTATAGTGCATGTCATTGTATATAACATAGTATTATGTGTGTGTAATGACTCAAAATGTCATCTTATGTTTTAGAACTCGATTCTATGGTCTTAAGCCTTAAAAATCTCATTTTTACCCTCTTCGATTTGAATGCGTAGTCCGGGCGTGTTTCTTGAAAAGCTTTTATGTTGAAAGTTGATGAAAATAAGAATTTTACCTTAAAAGTTAATTTTAGTTAACTTCGGTCAATGTTTTGAGTAAACGGACCCGGGCCCGTATTTTGACGGTCCCGGTGGGTCCATAATGAAATATGAAACTTGGGTGTATGCCCAGAATCAAATTCTGAGGTCCCTAGCTCAAGATATGAATTTTTGTTGAAAATTGAAAGTCTAAAAAACTAATGGTTTTAAAGAATTGATTGATGTTTGGCCTTGTTGATACCGGGTCCGTATGTTGGTTTTAGAGCCCAGTACAGGTCAAATACAATATTTATAACTTATCTGTGAAATTTGGTGAGAGTATCACAAGTTAGTAAAAGTCTTTGTAACTAGGGAGTCACAAAGTGGCTTGTGGTATGAGTACCACAAGTTCGTGAGTAAATTCTTTGTAATGGAGTCATTACAAAGTAGCTTGTAATAGGTTTTTACAAGTTAGTGAAGTTGAAAGCCTACAGGTGTAGGTCGTGGTTTTTTGATTCCCTTGTGTGGAATTTTTCCACTTAAAAATCCTCTGCCTTATTTACATACAGTTTTATTAGCATTCTCAGCAGAATCTCGTAGAGGATCAGGTACTCTACTGTTTGGTGGACTCACACAAATTAATAATTGGTATCAGAGCGGGTTCCTCCTATCAGGCTAACACTCAGGAAGGATCCTCATGGCTTCTCCACCAAATTTTGAAGAAGGCCAATCTATATACCGACCACCTAGGTTCAATGGACAATACTATGGGTGGTGGAAAACAAGAATGCATGATTTTATCATGGCTGAGGATTCCGAGTTATGGGATATCATATGCGATGGTCCTTACGTTCCAACCAAAGTACTGGAAGAACTTCCATTTTCAATGGCAAAAACTAGTAAAGAGTACACTGAAGCAGACAAGAAAGTTGTGGAGAAGAATTTTCGTGCCAAGAAAATTCTAGTATGTGGAATAGGACCTGAAGAGTACAATAGATTATCCACCTGCGGCACTGCCAAGGAGATATGGGAAGCTCTGCAAACAGCTCATGAGGGAACCACACAAGTAAAATAGTCTAAGATTCATATGCTCACTACCGAGTATGAACTCTTCAAAATGAGGGACAATGAATCCATTCAAGAAGTGCACACAAGATTCACTTTCACCATAAATGAGTTACACTCACTTGGTGAAACTATTCCTAGAAACAAGCTAGTGAGAAAAATCCTCAGCATTCTGCCTAGATCTTGGGAAAGCAAAGTGAATATTATTACTGAATCAAAGGACTTACAGGAGCTGACCATAGAAGAGCTGATCGGAAATTTGAAGACCTACAAGTTGAAGAGGAAGATAGACAGTGAAAGAAGAGAACCAAAGAAGGAAAAGAACCTGGTACTTAAAGCTGATAACAATGATTCAAGTGATAAAGACAATGACATGGTTTACTAACTAAAAGATTTCAGAAGATGGTCAAAATAAATGGAGAAATGCTAAAAAGGGACAGCTCTAACAGACCAAACAACTATGATCTATGTTACAAGTGTGGAAAGCCTGGACACTTTATGAAAGATTGTCCTATCTTAAAGCAAGAATTCTCCAAGAACTACCATGAGAAAACAGCTAAGATGAACCTGATTCCTTTCAAGGACTTCAACAGAAAAAGATCCGCTGACAATATGATGAGATAGGGTCTTGCAGCATGGGAGATTCCTCTAGTGAGTCTAAAGATGAACCTGATACTGGTAATAGTTCCATAATGGCGGTTGAAGGCGAGGAGATTGAATATGACTCAACTTTTGCTTTGATGGCTCAATCAGATGATGATGAAGACGGTGACAACAAAGAGGTAAATTTCAGGGATGTTCAGAGAAATCTGAAATCCTATTCTCCAAAAAAACTCATGTCTTTAGCTAATATATTAATTAATGTTTTTCATAGTCTTGTGGAGGATAGGGATTTTTTGACCATAGAATTAGGAGAATCTGAACAAACTAGAGACGACTTAGTGGTTGTAGTTACTGACCATAAGAGAAACATTGAAATCTTCAGAAAAGAAAAGGATGATCTTTTGGCAGAAATTACAGACCTAAAGGAAACAATAGTGAAACCATGGACTAAGTCAAAACCTGAAAATTCTGGAAAGGGAAAGGAGATAGCCAGTAAGGAACACATTAGGCTTGAAAATGAGGTGAAAGCTATGAGAACTAGGATGTGTGCTGAAATTGAGAAAAACGAGCAACTCCAAACTAATCTGGAAAGAGTAAAGAATGATCTTGAAAAGTCCCTAAAGTGAACCTAGT